CGACCTGTATTTATAATCCTATGATAACAATCGAAAAAGAACAATTAGAGAAGAAGAAATAAACAAAAGTCAATTAGTATAAAGGAAGTCATCATCTGATACTTTTTCTTATGTGTAAAGTAGGTACACAATATTTAAAATTCAGGGTCACTTTTTATATTCCTTAATACTGTAGATGTATACCTATAATAATATATTGAAATACAGATTATAAGGTTCCCACAAACTTTTTGCCTGCTTTGATATATCATTTACTCATTTTTTATCGATATGATTATTCAATTGCTTCTTTAAAAAAATAAAATCCCTAACGAAAAAAATTGATTGTTCAAAGGTACCGCGCGCGAATGTCATAAAAATAAAAGGGACTTTTTTCTTTCTTTTTTTTCGAAGGTTTTTTTTTTCTTATATCGAATCAAAATCTTTAAAAATATATCCAAAAGATCATCAGTTTTCGTACAACGAAATAAAAAATATTCTGAAATTTAGAATTTATATTTGGCACCTATTTTATAATATTTTCCATTTAAATTCAGTATATTCTTAAAATTAGAATATTTTGTACTTAGTATATATGTTACAATTTTAAGAATGTTACACTCTAAATCTGAATCAGTGGTTTTTACTGATTCCCAGTGAAATTCCACTGGTGAATTAAAGAAAACTGAGCCACTGATTAGAATTCAGTGAAATTTTCACTGATTCAGATTTAGAGTGTACATACTGAATTTAAGTATAGAAAATATTTTAAAATAGGTGCCAAGTTTATATATTCTAAATGTTTTTTTTTCGATGTGCCAAAAATAAATACACTCTAAATCTGAATCAGTGAAAATTTCACTGACTTCAAATCAGTGGCTCAGTTTTCTTTAATTCAACAGTGGAATATTAAAGAAAACTGAGCCACTGATTTGAAGTCAGTGAAATTTTCACTCATTCAGATTTAGAGAGTGTATTTATTTTCTATTTCTAAGACTTTTTGAAAATATTTCTATAGACCAACATAATCTCAAAACTATAAACATGCTTTTATATTTAGAATCATGAATATGAATTAATTTTCACATATATTTTGAAAGGAACCATTAAATAATTCTTTAAAAAAAATCCTTAATTCCTTCAAAGAACATAATATTTTAAAGAAGAATCGGAAATACAAAAAAAAATATGACGAATATAACGAAATTTTTTTTGATGTGTCAGAGAACAAAAACTTGTTTCATTTCCTAGAAGAGTATTATAACAGTATATATATATATATATGAGTAATATATAATGAATCAATCTATTCATTAAATACATTAGAATTTTTTTTGACAAATTTAAACGTTAAAATGACAAAAAAAAATTTGAACTTTATCAATTTTGTTATAAGCTTAAAAAAATAGGGTTACTTTCATATTTTTAGAGAAAGTATACGTTATATTTACCTGTCAATCAAATTTATTTTATATTATTGAATATATCAATCTACTTGGTGGGTCCACTTGATAACCGGTTTTATAAATTTTTAAGAATAATGTGTTACAAACTAAGACTCGTAACTGTAATGAGACATAGAATTTCTATTTGAACATTTAATTATTAAAATAAATTTACTTCATTATAACGCATATATGTAAAATATAATTACAGTATAAAAACAAAATTTGTCAATAAGTAAATTTTGTTATCATATAAATGGTATTTTTTATCCAACTTAGCGTGAATTAGAAATTTACAATTTTTTATATCAACTCTTCGATAAAATCGAGGATAAAATTTAACAACGAAAAATATTCTAAATTTAAGAATATATACTGAGAAAAAAAATTTAATGTTTGCAACAAAATTGTTTGGTTAGGCAATTTTGGTTCTTGTAACCAAATTTTGGTTGTCTGAAACTAACTCATAGAGTTATCTCAACCAAACATTTGGTTAGGCCAAGCAAATTATTTAATTGAACATTTTTAAATTCCAACCAAAATTTTGGTTACGACAACAAAATAATTTGGTTAAAACAACAAAATAGTTTGTTCTAAAAAACCAAATGATCGTATGTTGTCCTAACCAAAATTTGATTGCGACAACCAAATAATTTGATTCGCTCTCAGCTCATAGCTTAAGAAAACAGTTATAGTTTAAATCTCTCATAAGGATGGGTATAGTCCAGTGGTCAGAGCTCCCGACCTTCAGTTTTAAAACAGAGGTTCGATCCCAGGCGGAGATGAGATTTTTCAAAGTCCACACAAATATTTCAATTGGATAAATATAAATTTAATGTAAAATTGATAATAAATGAATAATTAAATAAATAAAAAAGAATAAAAAGAAAAGAAATAAGGTAGAATAAAATTTTTAATTTTACAAAAAAAACTGTTTGTTTGATCAACCAAAACATTTTTGTTGACCTAACAAAAAAAATTTGGCTGAGCTAACCAAACATTTTTGTTATGACAACAAAAAATACTCAACCAAATTTTTTGGTTGACTCAAACAAATAGTTTGGTTGTATAAATACCAATAAAATTTTTTTGTTGGCCCAACCAAATTTTGGTTGCTCTGACTAAACATTTTTCTCAGTGTAATATTAATGTAATTTTAAACTTAATTTATACTCAAATGAAGAATAAAATGATAGAATATACAGAATGATTTTTATATTCCGGACCCTCTAAAATTTTTTTTAATTCCACTTTTTTTTAAGTAAAAAACGCAAAAATGAAATGAAAAAAATTTTTTAGGAGGTCCGGAATATAAAAATCACCCTGTATATTCTTAAATGAAGATTATCAAAATTAACATATTAAAAAACAATTTAGATAACATAACCTTAAAATTTGGTAATTATTTCTTACTATTGGGGATTATTATTTTTATTTAATTAATTTAAATATATGACAATATACATCATAGTTTGACTAACTTTTGTTCTCTTTGTCCGATTCTTTCTCAAAAACCGATTTAAGCGTAAATTAAGTATCGTTAAATATGACTTTGTGCAGCAATATATATAGAAAATAAAGATAATCTACTTATAAATACAGAAACGCAAAATAAGAAAAAAAAAATTTCCCTTTTTTTGATTTCTATTTTATAAAACAATAATTTTTACTTTATAAGAATAAAAAATTTTAATTTTATAAGAAAACAATTTTTATTTTATGAGAATATAATTTTTATTTTATGAGAATATAATTTTTATTTTTGTAATTAAAAAGAAATTTTATTTTATTAAAATATAATATTTATTTTATAGTAAAAATTTTATTTCACAAAAATCTAATTATTAATCTATAAATTATTAAAAATTATGATGTCAATGTAAAATAAAACAGTAAATTTAACAATTATTAAATAAAAAAAAAAATTCTTTTTTGATATTTAAAACAATATTTTGTAATAAATTTTGTACTTAAAGAAGTTCCACAAAATATTTCATTCATTTGAACGTTCAAAACTTTTGGCTCATAATTATTATTTGACAAAATATTGAAAATATTTTTTGTTTAAATCAAAATTTAATTTTTAGTTAATTTAAATTAATTATTAATTAATTATATTAATATTTGAAATCTTTGATATTATTTAAGTTATAGTAAATCATTGTTTCGCAGAGTCATTTTTCTTGTATTTTATATATAATTAAGTACACTTGTACGAAAGGATTTAATAAATAAGTAAAAAAATAAATAAATATCAAAATTAAAAAAGAAAACCCAGACAATATTTTTCAAATAAAATTATTTTGTTTAAATGTTGCAATTTCAAAAAGAAAATCGGAAAAAATGTACAAAAGGTTTTTCTTTTTTAAATTAAAATTTCGATTTGCAAACAAAAAAAAAATGAAATAGGTAACAAATACGAAACTGAAGTAGGTAACGTTTATGATAAACGATTTTTAAAGAAATAATTTTTTTAAAATGAAAAATTCTATAATTTTTTGCTTAAAAAATATTTTTTTTTTTATATAATTTGTTAATTAATGAAAACTACAAGAAATAATTTTTTAGACCAAAAAATTATAGAATTTTTCATTTTAAAAAAATTATTTCTTTAAAAATCATTTATCATAAACGTTGCGTACTTGAGAGCTTCGTTAACTAAATTTTCTTTCTAAAAAAAATAATAAAAAAAAATAAATAAATAAAAAGAAAAAAAACCGGTGTCAAGAAAAAAAATACCATTTACATTTTTAACTAATTTTGTACTAATAAACACATTTTTCCAAACTCTATTGTCTCATAAAAAAACATAACCTCAAAAATCTTTCCCTTTAACACATTTCATTCTACGAAAAAAAAAATTTTTTTCTATCAAAACAATATTGTCAAAAAAAAATCACATAACCTATTAACAAAGAATTGAAAAAAAATATAAAGACTCACTCGCGACAAAAAAAAAATAAATTTTAATGAAAATTTTCAGTTATTTAATTCGCAAATATTGAAACCGAAAAAAAATCTCTAACCACAGTAGTGTTGTGTGTGTATTAAAGTCATGCGTCATACATTTAAGAATCCCGTCATCTTTTAACATCTTTAATAGTTACAGAGAGACGAGATAATATCCAACCAGTTCTAGCTCCGGGGAACTCGTTCTCTCTCTCTCTCTTGACTTGGAATTCTTCAGATTCTATTCACTGCACATATATATATTCTATATATACATATATTTGCTTGGCAAAACTCACACATACACACGAGGAACAATAACACGATGCACTTTTTTTTTTATTTTTGTCATTTGCGCGCGCCACTGACAAATATATCGCGACGATAATCAGGATTCTTTTTTTATAGAATCCAATATTCTTACAGTCTCCCCCTATACATAATAATGTAGTTTTAATTCAAACCGACTAAACGATCCAAATAGCCAAGGTCACACACAATTACACCAATTTCGCGTTGGCGGCTCGATAAAAATATCACATGACAAAGAAAAAAAAAAAAGAAACTCTAACAAGAAATAAATTAGCGATAAGGCAGAGAGTATTAGTGGATTAATATGTTGCTTACCTTCGTCTAGTAGGCGTTCTACATGTATGAAGACATTAGGGAAAGCAGCTAACTGCTTCCTGTCTTTTAGTAACTGTGACAGGTAGTCCGCTATACTTTGCGTCGTTGTGTTAGTATTATCACACATTGCAATTGCTTGATTATTTGAAATGGTGAGCGCGCGATTATTTATATTTTATTTACTGTATAGACGACAAGGAGTCGTCTTTAGGTTTCGTTTTTTTTTTTAAACCGAGTTCGTCACTGCCGCGTCACCGGTATTTATTCTTTTTGGCGAAATTTAATAAAATTTTTTTTTTAGTTAGAAAGACCGTTCACTTGTTTTACAGACATAAATGAGATGTACAATAAACGTGATGGGTGCACGTTGATTTGCCGGTCTTTTGTTGTTATTAGAATTCGCGAAGGCGGGGGGAGGGGAAAGGTTTATGAATGTGTGTGTGAGAAAGAGAGAAACACAGTGTGTGTGTGCGTATAACGAGATGAGTTTTTTTTTTTTTTTTAAAGTAAATAACAAATATTGTTATGAGAGGGGAGATTTCTCTCTCGTGTGTTACACTTGAATTAGAGAAAAAAAAAAAAAACTCAAAATTGGGATTTTCTTTTTGGGGAGTAAAAATGTTGTCGAGTGTAAAATATAAGTACGCACGCTACAAGATTCTCGGCTCTACTGCTGGGTCACACTGTCACGGCATGTAAGTTGCGACGACGACTGCTTGCGCGGAATGCTTTGGGGCCATCTGGTGCGCATGTGCAGAAGCTAAGTAACGCATGCGCGTACATTGACTAGCGAGAGAACTTCACTCACTTCCACCACTGCTTCCGCCCACTACCATATACGGCCTCTGCATACTCGCGAGAGCACACCGAGTATGCACTGTATTTACCAATACTAACAAACAAGTAGCTACCACCCATAGAGTTCGTGTACATTTCGTTTTAGCTTTATATATATATATATATATATATATATATATATATATATATATATATATATATACATACATACATATAAAATCTCTCTGATCAACCTGTAAATGCACTTTTTTTTTCGTTAAGAAACAATTGGACAAAAATAGTTAAAACATATATAAGGTAAATGCACTAGTAATCGTCATCTTAAGCCGAATTGACAACTTTAATTGTGTATTAAACAATGTTAAACGGTATTTCTAAACTAATAATTAATATTTAAGAATAAATTATAGTCACAGTTTTCCTAAAAGTATCAAATTGAGACGAAAAATTGCATCAAATCTTTGCAACGTTTTGATGCACATAAGTTATATCAAAAAGAGATCGTTTTGTGTATCATTTTTAGAAATGATACACGAAACGGTCTCATTTTTTGATGCAAAAAATTTAATCAATTTATATCAATCATGGCCGAATTGAATCGACTCAAAATTAAACGAATTTTTTTCAGATATTTTGGTAATAGTACAATTGCGGAGACCATTTCACTATTTAATTTGAAAATGAAAATAACAGAAAATCAAAGACAATGTGCAATTCGATAATTAAAAAGTGACAGCTTATAAACATAACCTAAAATGCATGAGAAAAAATTTCTCGATAAAATCAATATAGCCGAGCGTTTTAGAAGGTAGATGACAGCACTCATCTATTTTCTTTCTTTAAATTTTTTCTGAATCGTTTTTATAAAAAGCAAAACTGCCATCTACCTTCTAAAAAGCTCGGCTATATTGATTTTATCGACAAATTTTTTCTCATGCATTTTAGGTTATGTTTATAAGCTGTCACTTTTTAATTATCGAATTGCACATTGTTTTTGATTTTCTGTTATTTTCATTTTCAAATTAAATAGTGAAATGGTCTCCGCAATTGTACTATTACCAAAATATCTGAAAAAAATTCCTTTAATTTTGAATCGATTCAATTCGGCCATGATTGATATAAATTGATTAAATTTTTTGCATCAAAAAATGAGACCGTTTCGTGTATCATTTCTAAAAATGATACACAAAACGATCTCTTTTTGATATAACTTATGTGCATCAAAACGTTGCAATAGAAAAAGTTACAACCAAGTTTACTGTGCGTCTAAAGAAGCATAATTAACTCTTGTTTTTTAAAAATAGTATTATTGTTAATAATTATTTATAAATAAAGTTCGTAACATGCAAATGTGTTAGTTATCGGCTAGGATGAAAACTAATTGCCTTAGTGATCGTCAAGTAAAAGCATTAGTAATCGTCAGTAATATTAAAATATGAAAACAAACTTTTTAAATTGATTTTCTTATATATTATAGTATAATAATTATAGCAATTCACTGTTAGAAAAATCTGTATTAAATTTAATATATATTGTATATGAAGCAAATATGCAATACTAGAAATTGAAATTTAATATACATTTACATTCAATTTAAGGTTATGTGACTGTTAGGTATGTAATGTTAATTTTCAGTAACTTTTCTCATAAAATACTGAATGAATTGAGTTGAAATTTATAATTTGAAAAAAATATGAAATTATGAACAAATTTTTAATATAATAAAACATATTTAACATTAACAAAAATATTTTTTTTAATTTACTTTTTAATTAAATTTAATAATACTTCTTTTTAAATTAATTAACTAAGAAATACTACACAAAACCTACATGTTTTAGTTTTCGACAGCCTCCTGCTTTAGTTATCGTCATAAAAGAAAATATAAAATAACTTTCATTTCATCCAATTTTCGGTTGACGATAACTAAAATCTATTAATATTATAATATACAAAATTTATTTTTACATTGAAAACAAAGGTTTTTAACATCACTCAATAAAAGAAGTCAGTTGTTTATGTACTTAAAAATTTTTAGTTATCGTCATCTCTGACAATTACTGACACACGATGAATTTTGAGTTTTAGTTATATCGTTTTCCTTAATAATAAAATAATAATTTAAATGTTAACTTATTTTTTTTAATCCATCAATAGTAGTTTCATTACTTTATGATAAAAACATAAGCTTAACTTTCAATTCACTTTACACTACTAATCACAAGTTACTGTAAGATTACTGTAATATTACGAATCTTACATGTAATATTATCTTGATATTGAGGTTATATTACGTGCTTCTTGGAAAGTAAGAATTTTTAAACAAATTTTCTGTTTCTTTATTATATTTTTTAAAAGTTCTAACATTTTTTTAATTGTTAAAAATTAAATAATATTGTAAGAAAATTAATTTTAATGAGAATAAATTAATTTATTTAATTTATCTAATCCAATTTATTTAATTTATTTAGTAAGAGATTAGTTATTATATTTTATAATTAATTAAAGGAAATTAACAATAAATACAGCTCTAAGCTGAATTGTCTGAGTCACAATACGGACATTCGAACCAGGATCCGCAGATTTTGGCGCAATTTAAGTGCACTTCTCTCTCTGACAGATTCCAATTCTCTATTGATAACAACACAATTTCAAAGTAAAAAAAGAAAAAAATTTTAATTATGAGGCTTAGAGCATTATTAAGAAACTGTAACATTGAAAATAAATAAAATTAAGAAATTAAGGTGTGATGTCAATCTTAGGGCCAATGACTTCATTTTTTTGGCGTAAATAAAAATTATTTACAACACACAGTGTCAACCCAATCATTTTAGAATACTATTATACGATAAATAAATAAGGTTATTACGTTATGCATCCATTCGAAATCAAAAATATAGATAATTTTACCGACTGAAATAAAAACTGTTACAAAACTTTTTAAAACGAAAAATCCACGTGATATAGTTTCAAAGAAAATTTCTTTGATTTAAAGAAATGTTCTTTGAATGAAAAAAATTTGTGCATTTAATCAAAGAAATTCTAACATTGATATAGGATCATAGAAACATTTATTTGAATTAAATAAAAAATTTCCTTTTGAATCGGAGATAATTTTTTTTTTTTTAATCAAAGATAATTTTTTTGAAACAAATAAATTTTCTTTTGTATCAAAGAAATCTTTTTTCTGGGTGTAAATCATAAGGACCCTAAAAACCACTAAAGATTAAATTAAACAATTTTTAACATAGCAATTGAAAACGCATTAGAAAGACATTTATTAGAGGTTTAGAAAGATCAATAAATTCGTTGACATACTCTCTAAATCTGAATCAGTGAAAATTTCGCTGATTTTCTCAGTGACAAAGATTTTCACTGAGAATCAGCGACTATCACTGACGAAACAGTGACTTTACTGAAGTTGCTTCTGCGCCGACGCAGTAAATTTCAGAGCGTCATTTGGTGCAAGAGAAATCTGGGCAAGTTAGGTTAAAAGTTATATCAACATTTGCGTTTTTTAAGTGAAAAAATTGTTTAAATACTTAGTAAGTACATATTATACACTATTATTTACCTTCTGGATCATAAGTTCATATACAGTAGTTGAATTTATATCAAAATTTGATCAAAGATTACTTTGGTTTATACAGTGTTATTTTTAACTACTTTATAATAAATTTAACAAAATACGTAATGATTATAATTAATTAATTAAATTTTCTTTGTTTTATAGATGGTTTCGATTATATAAAATTCATAAATTGTTCAAATTATCATTTGAAAACTAATTCGTTTTCGTTTGACACGAAACATAACCTCACTTATATTTTTCATGCGATATTAATATTTATCACTATTTTTGCGCATAATTTTAACTATATCGACAATTGATTTTCCCTTTAATTACTTCTGCTTTGTATTTTGTAGATTACACTTTTACTCGGAATCAGCAATAATTTCAATAAGATGGATTTATCGAATATATCTACATTGCCCTTAGAATTGTACACCAAGTTAAGGGACAATAATATTCCAGAGGAAATATTTCAAATTTTAGAAGGTTTGTGTAAAAAGATTTTAGTTAAATCTTTTTACACAAACCTTCTAAAATTTGAAATTTTCTATAATTTCATTGAAAATTATGTTTATGATCTTCACACGGGAACTCGCAGTGTAGTTACATCGATGCACATCAATGTGTGCAACGTTATCAACGAAGAATCGTCAAATTAGTTTTATAGTTTATCAAACAAGTCATTGAAACTTCGATTAATGTGTTTTCTATTTATTTTCAATGGATGTTTCATTTTTTATATTTTTGTGTTTTTATTCTACGTTTTAAACTTACGTTTTCCTAATATTAATTTACGAATAATTACTAAATAATGTTCAGTTTTCCTAATTGATGTACGTGTTTCAATAAATATAATATTTTTCATTAAACTAATATTTTATCTTTTGACACAGAAAAAACTAAGAAATATTTAATTCACTGAAAAATCAGTGAAAAACTACTAATTAGATCAGCGAACTTTCACTGTTTAAATCAGTGAAATAATTCCTCGCTGATTGAAACAGTGAAATTCCACTGATTCCCAGTGGTATACTTATAGCTATTTCAATCAGTGACTATTCACTGAGAATCAGTGGGATTTCGCTGATTCAGATTTAGAGAGTAACTTCGAACTAAAAATTCTTTTTATTTAGGGTAAGTGCACCAATTACGGCGCGTTCATAAAAAAATAACTTTTATATTTATTATAACTATTGCAAAATGATTTTAAAAAATTATTATTTTAGTCTTTTATGATTAGAATTACTAATAAAGATGCACATTTAAGCAATGATTAATTAAATTATTTTCTGAGATCAAATTTTTTTCCCTCGCCGTATAGTTGAAACATTTTTAAGATTTCCATTGACTCCAATTACGGTGG